GAGGAGGGGTCCAAGATGGAACAATGCCATTTGCTCAGCTCTTGGTCTGCTTTCAGTCACTTCCTTTGATACCCACAAGCAAGTTGGGCCCTTCTGGTGTTGATACCTGGGTGGGTGGATTTGTGTGTATTCTAGGACCCCATGGGTCTCTCAAACAAACTCTCCTGTGAGGCTGGGAGTACCTCCTGCTGCCTCAACACCCACAGTTTTTTTTTCAGTGAATAGTTTGAGGCTTTATTTCCCCACACTGGAACCCTGGGTTTTCCATCTATCTCGCTTCCCAGTTGTTCCTCCAAGTTTATCTGCACACAGATGTGGGACTGCTTGCTCTGGCAGCTGCCATCTTGCCTGGTCTACCAGCTGCTGCCTCACCTGCCCCAGTTCTCCAGCCACCACCTTGCCATGAGTCCTCTCCACCCTGGCTGCCCATCTCTGCTCCTCCTACTTGTCTGGATGAATGTTTCTTCTTCAACTCCTTGGTTGTTGGACTTCCATATAGTTTGATTTTCTGGCAGTTCTGGTTATTTTTTATTTTTAAATTTGTTGTTGTGCTTCTTTTGGTTGTGCAAGGGAGGCAAAGTGTATCTACCTATGCCTCCATCTTGGCCAGAAATCCCTAAAAATGCAAATTCTTAAGCCTCACTTTAGAGCTACTGAATAAAAACTCTTGGGGTAGGGCCCAGAAATTTGTCTTAACATACTTACCAGGTATTTTCAGTGCAGACAAAATGTGAGAAATAATGGCATGAGCTTGAGTTAACTATTGTATCTTTAAACATTCTGCAAAACTAATGAGTCATGAGTTATGAATGTTTCCAAAACTAAACCCTATCTAACTCTTGTTAATATGGAGAACCTAGAGTAAAACTTCTGGTAAATCAATTCTTTTTTTCCCCAGAAGTACAATGTTTAAAAATTTGACATGTCCAAGTTGAAAACCATCTGCACGTTGGTGCTAAAATTACAAATATTCAAAAGAATTACATTACCAAATACATTTCTAGGTAAATGCATTGAATTGTGGAACATTGTAGTGTTTCATAAATATTGTGGTTTCTAGAAATAAAGAAGTGATCTTTTTTAAATGTTAGTCATGGTAGCAAGAGAAGATGAAGTGTCAGATTCAGGAAGTTCAATAAAATATTTGTACATAAAAATTTAGCAGAAAAAAGACAAATGGAAAATAAATTATTAGTATCATCAATGATATTGATAGTCACTCATTTGGTATTATAAAGCCCAATAATATGTTTTCCAAAATAAATAATGCCTTTAGGACTTTCCGAGATCCTGCACCCAGTTTTATTGAGATAGGACAGACATACAACACTATGTAAGTTTTAGGTGTACAACAAAATAGTTCAACTTACATATATTGTGAAAAAATTACTACAACAAAAGTAGTTAGCATCTGTAGATGTTAGAAACATCCAAACCTATAGAGAATTTTTATGAGTTTGTTAGAAACTCATGATATATACTAGGGGCAAGATCTCAAATGCTCCCAGAATAATAGTTTTGTAGCTTCTTTTATGCATTTGGAATTAAGGAGGAAATTAATTGCTTTAGTTTACTTCTGAGCTCTCAATTCTGCCCCATTGGTCTGTTGATATGCTAGTACCACATTGTTTTAATAACAATAGCCTTATAGTATAATTTGAAATCAGGAAAAACAATGCCTCCTGCTTTGTTCATTTTTTTTCTCAAGATTGTTTTGCCTATTTAGGAACTTTTGTGAATTTAATTTTAGAACAGTTTTTTTAAGTATCATCAGAATCTTGATAGGAACTGTTTTGAATATATAGGTGCCTAGTGGTAGTGTGGGTATTTTAACATTATTAATTTTCAGAATAAACTCTATGTTTTTTGTACTCACAACTATAAACCTATTTTTGCCCTGCCCTGTATATATTGTTTATTTTCATTATGTCCCATAATTCCCATAGGTTTTCTTCTTTTTCCTTTTAATCCTCTGACTGGATAATTTCAAATGTGCCATTTTCTAGGTTGCTGACTCTTTTTTTGCATAGTCATTAGCTTTTGAAGCTCTCTATTGAATTCTTCAGTTATTTTATTTTTCAGCTCTAGGACGTCTGTTTGTTTCCTAATGGCTTCTATTTCTTTGTTGAACTTCTCGTTTTGTTTGTGCATTGTTGTCCTAAAATTTTTTTAGTTCTCTTTGTTCTAATAGTTTTGGAAGAATTATTCTTATTTTATTAAACCTTAACATTCCATAGATCTTCATTTCTTTAGGGTCATTTGTTGGAGCTTTATTATTTTCCTTTGGTGGTATCATAGGTGTGATTTTTTGGTGATCCTTGATTCCTTATATTGATATTTGTTCACTTGAGTAAGTGATCTCCTCTTTCAGATTTTGTAGATCCATTTTGTCAGGACAGCAAAATTCACCACTCTGCTCAGTTTGAATTTCTGGATATGTCTGCTGTCAATGTCTTTGGGAAGATAGAACAAGTTATCAGGGTCCATTTTGGTATGAGGTAACTGTTTGAGATCAGGAGTAGAATTGTTTTACTGGCATGGCTCCTTGAGAAAGTGAGACTATAATATAGGTTTCAAGGTTACCTATATATGTAGTCAGGATTACTAGATGGGCTGGAGTGGCTACTATATTCAGCAGTAGGTGGAGCTGTAAGTTAGCTTTTCTGCTATCACAGGGCAGCTGGATGAAACCCAGGACATGTCTGACTTATTGAAGCCCCAGAATAGTTAGGGAGAGTAGTCTCTGAATATTGTCTTCAGGTAAGGCTACTGGTTTTGCTCTGTAGCTAGGGTTGTGCTCTCTGCTCAAGTGCTACTGTAAGCAGAGCCATTGGATGGGTTACACAACCTATCATGCGCTCTAGTAAGGTTCCCTGGTTGGGCAGGCTGTTGACTCTATCCAGCAACACACAGGTGGGCAAAAGTAGGTTTACAGTTGTTAGCGTGCAAAACACTGTTTATTTTTGCATTACTGTTTATTATTATATTTTTATATTATTTGACTTATTTTGTATCCTGCCTTATAATTTATCTTTTAGGTAATGATTGTGGTAATTCAACCTATGTTGGCCTACCCCTGTAAGAGGGGTTATAAATTAGTTTTCTGCCAGAGAACAGAAGGAGGTGCAGCTCCAAGGCCACTAATACTCTCTCATTGGTGGTTTTGATTAGAGCCAATCTGTGTCTCTAGTTCCCTGACTAAATAGGGACATTGGCTTTGCTCTGGCAGCAATTAGCCCTGCCTGCCTGTAAACTTTAGAGATTATTGGGTTAGCAAGTTTTCAGGTGTTTTCACCAACCCTCCCTGTCAGATGGGGCTGGGAGGGCCAACTAGAGGCAGCATTAACCTTTTCTCAAACAGTATTTCTGGTTAGGAGCCATGAGCTGCAGCAGGTAAGACAGTGACTCAGCCCTTATGCCTGGATGTGGGCAGACCAGGCTGCATAGGGTACATAACTCACCTGGGGGCCTGAATTAGGCAGACCTGCACCCCACTATGTTTCCTGGTCAGATTGTGTCCCAACTTGTTTCTTCAGCTGAGATAAGGTTCTGTTTGTGAGCAGTACTTGTGCTCTTCAGGTAGAAACTTGTTATGCCAAGGTCTGAGTACTGGTTGTTAGGATCCTTTCATCCCTCCTCTGTGATATTCAGATTCCCCTATGATCCTCATTGGGATTAGAAAAAAACCCAGAGTAGGGGCATCCATGATGAACCCACATGCTGGACATGTTGGCTATCACCCCTGCGCTCTCTTTTCTCACTAGAGAAACCATAGACTCTGGGAAGACCTCTCACTAAGGGCAGAGCGTAGCCATTTCTCTTGCCCTCCTAATGCATCCTGTCTTAGTCTCTCTGGTGGCAGGGGCAGAGGGAAGGGGTGGTTCTTCAGTTTCACTCTCATGTTCTAGGATTTTCTCAGTGATGAGTTGTTCTTGTGATGGGGATCAAATTCAGGAACAACCAATGTCTGTAACATCAGTCTTTTCTGTTTGAAGCAACTTCCCAAATAAATCACCTGGGGGTTGTGTTTTAGTATGTTTGTCTTTATAAAGGCAATCAACATGAAAAATAATGCATTGCCTAACAGAGAAAAGTGTGCCTTCCTTTGACCTCGTTCACTTGGTATTTTCAGATTGTGGAATAGTTTCTAACTTTCCAGCTTGCTATTATATTAAAGGACATAAAAGACTGTTCTTTACCACTTCTGTAAGCATATCAAAGTCAAATTGATAGCATTAGAAGCATTAACAAAGACTATTCAAGAAGTGTGCATAAATGCAGGAATTAAACAGGAAACTCAGATTCTATTATGTTAAACAATAAAACATAGCAAGCCTCAGATGCCTCTCTGTTACACAGAGATCATTTTATAAGGATGTTCTAAGGATTAAATATATATATGTATATACATAACATTTATGTATAGGAGGTGATAAATAGTGCATAGCTATAATTGGGAGGGCTGAAATAACCTCTAAATTACAGTAGTCAAACCAGTATATGTGTGTGTGTGTGTGTGTGTATATATATATATAATTTCTCCTCTGAGTCTGATGTTTCAGAGCTCTCCTTCAAAGAGGTAACTCAGGAATCCAAGCTACTCTCATACTGTGGCTGCAAAGTCGCATTGGTTTTACCTATTTAGCAGAAATGAGGATAAATTTTAGTTAGGGTAGGCCCACTGTGTGATTATATATATTCAGTTTAGAACTGACATATGTCACTTCAATTGACATTACTTCGATGAAAAACTAGTCTTTGATCAAAGACTAATTCTAGATGCAGACTGGAAAATATCTCTAGTGTAGTGGCTAAGCATCAATTGGTGAGCATCAGCTAGCCATCACTGCCGCCAAAACTGAACATCCCCTGTTTTAGAGTCTTAGTTTTCTTAGCTATGGAATAATGTTGGATTGAGCAGTTACAAAAGTAAAACTCTATTTTGTTTAAATAGAGAAATTTTATTATTTACTCCATTCCTCTTATCGGTTTCCTTCCAGTTCCTAGAGGCAGATGTCATCTCTGGACTAATCCTGTAAGCTATGATGAATTAAATCTATTAACAAATATCAGAAGGTAGGCAAAAGTTTTACTACATTACATCAGTAGAATCTAAAAGACTTAATTTTTGAGTGAAAAGCATTTATCTTTAAAGATATGTTTTACTTGAAAAATAAAAATTTTTTAAAAAGCTAAAAAAAGATGTTTTAATTAGCTATAACAAGTGCTAACAACACTTGTTGGGACATTATTTATGAAAAGCAGAGTGAATCTGCTTTAATTCAAACCAGGTAAATGACCAGCTGACCCAAAGATGAACCCTTATCAATATATTCATCTTAGAGCAGAAAATGGAGACAATTGTACTTAAATAATAATAATGAAAGATATTATGAGCAACACACATTATGCTGTGTTGGGACACTTTATTTTCTAAAAAAATGTTTAAAAATAAGCTATTTGGAAAGTAGTTGATGAGAATAAGTCATGGGTATTTAAATATTTTAAATTGAAAACTTTATAAATCTGTTTTCATATAATATGCTCTAAAAATATCAAGGTAACAGAAACTAGAAAGAAAATATTCAACATACCCAGGAAACATTAAAATTATACAAATTAAAGCCCATATCTAGATATATTTCTTTTTGTGGTACTTAATTACAGTATTTTGTTAAATACAAACAAAAAAAAATCAATGTGACAAATCTTCAAGAAAAATAATGTTCCAAGACTTTTAAATCTACTTCTGAAGTCTCAGTCCAAATACTTAACTACACGTTAGTAGGAAAACCACACGTACCGCTGCACATACAACATGCAGGATAAACCGCATCCCAGAAGAATGAATACCGATTTAAGAAAGAACAACAATAAATACAATTTGCATGTGATATTGAGATCTAAAAGCTCTTAAGACTTCTACATGTAGCATCTATAGCATGAAGGAACACTGTTGTTTACATGTAGACAGTCTGCTTACATACAATAATCACATAACAATCTCTACATTATGCTGCAAATGCTGCACAAGAAATAACTTGTCTGATTGATATGCAGACTGTTTGCTGGGATGGTGACAGCCAAAGTAAGTTCAAAGTCACAGAATATGTTGTCAACCTAGTGTAAAAATGTACAATTACTTGCTATTCTGTTTAAAGGTGACTACTACTATCTGTTCCCTAGGCTACTTGTTCACTGTAGCTTATTATCATTACAAAGTATTAAAATGGATTAGTTTTTCTACATTGTGTTCATTTGGGGAAGTACATGTTTTAGACAGCTTACTGACAAGGGTTTTGAAAAAAAGTATTTCTTCCTCTACTAAAAATTACCAGGCAGCTTATTTTTGAGAATAAAACTCTCTAAATTGCATGCTTACAAATTTCTCTTTCCCAATAATTTAATATAGAGAAACCAGAGAGAAGTGAGAAGATATCTAATTAATATCTTCTAATGCCCAACTAATGTCAAGCATGACTCCAATTTATAGTTGAACTGTACTCCAATTTATAGTTGAACTGTACTTTTACATTGAAAAATTCAATTACACTTACTGACAGAATTTGAAATGCCACATTATTTACATTGGCAAACTTTACAGGCTCACAGTATATTTATTAACATTCTTTCCACAGAATAAAGCGTATATACAATACAGATCACTGCATTCTTCATATCTACCAGAACAGCAATGGATTGCTTCAGCCTAAGAGAGCCAAAGACCAAACAGAGGCAGATATTAATGTGCCCTTCCTTTTAATTCTCCAGGCAAAACAAGGTAACCTTGACATTTCACTATCCTCTCTGGATCCTGCTACATTTTTCTCATTCTCTTTCTCTGGTGCCTCCCTCTAAACACCTTCCAACTCCATCCCAGTTCCTACGAGCATACAACCACAGGACCCTCCCTGCACACAACAATTTTGAGCTGTGAAGAGGTTCAATTACCACATTGGTGACTCAGTTGCAATGCACAAATCATTTACTAGGATAGCTTGAGGACATGACAGTGACAGAGAGACATCTGTTGGGTAGATTGGAGGCAAAAAAGGGTTTATTCACAGCTGGTGCCTTAGTCCTGCTAGCCACTCGGCCACCACAGTGTCCTCCAATTTTCTTCTCCTTCTTGCTCCCTGCTGTCAGCTGCCAAAAGATATCTGTTCACACCCTTTGCTGAATGAAAAGGTGCTAATGCATGACTTCAGGATATGTCAGAACATACAGTACTTACAAGTGTTTGGAGATGCAGCTGGCCTGACCATGCAGAAAAAAAATACTAAAGAGAGCTTTTCTCAAAAAGGGGAGGAGAAAGAACAGTCAGAGAATATTCTTTTTCTTTGACTGTACACTAGGGGTGGGGTGATTAGGAGGGGACCTTCCTTAGTTTCAAACTACCTTTTCATTTCTCCCTCCATACACAAGAGATCTAATATATTTTACAATCCTGAATATCCTAAGATAATAATTGTTCTGTAAACTTATCTTGGCAAATATGCCAATTAATATAAAATAGATTATTAGAGTATTTTAAGAATATATTTTTTCTTATTTTTATATGCTAGAGAGGAGGAGCCAAAATTAGAAAGAAAATGAAACAGATACTCTACTTTGCTCATTGTAGCTGTAATCAGATGACTCATTGCTATATATTACTAATGTTTATCTGTTCTCAGAGCTAACACCTAGCATATAAAATTTATTCTACTTACCACTAAGAAAGAAGAATCCCCATTTGGAACTGGCAAGATCTGGAGAACTCCTTTAACATCCAGAATCAGCACTCAAGTCTCCTCTCTCAAGTTTTTTTGATTTGATAGTCCACATGAAACTAGAGGCTTGTGAAAGAATCTAAGTTACATAGCTGAATCAATGCTATACACAATGATAAATATACTACTAAGAGAGCAGTATTTCACAGAAAAAAATCATAGGTCTAAACTACAAAACAGTAAGTGAGAAGATCTACATTGGGCAACAATGCCTGCCAGACATAGCACCACAGAAAGGATTATCCTAGAAACTCTATGCTCTGAGTGTCTGAAATACAAATTACTGATCAGCATTTTTTTTTACCAATTCTCATAATATTCTGGTGGCTTATCTGATAGAAAAAAAACGAAGAATTTAGGTGAGTAGTCAAAAAAATTAGGTAAACTGAGATGAAATTATCCCCTTTCAAATGGATTACAAGGGCATCTACTAACCTATTATAGAATTTTTCCTATAGAGGAAAAAAATGTGTTTGTTCAGAAATAATAACATGTCCTTCTTGAAATCAAAGGACTCTTTTTATAGGAGTTTAATCCACTAGCTTAGAACCTTAAATTGCATTAGATTTTTTTTCATGTATAGAAAGTCATATTTTAATCTTATTTTGAAAGTATGGCAAGGTCATCAAATTTATTCCATCTATTTTAATTTCTACTGTATAATTTGTTTTCTATGTATAATAAGTATATTTGAAATGATTATAAATATCATAAATTAGTTTACATTATCCCAATATACACTTAAACTATACAAAGAAATGCTGGTCTGCTATATTGATTTTTAAAAAAAGTAAAATAGCTGTTTTAACAATGTGAATATAATAGGAAATTACTGTATAAGTTATTGTTCTTGTTGAAATGTCTCAAAAAAGCACTTTACAAGAATCTTGCAACCTAAGTAATCAAATTCATTTCACCAAGTACTTTTATTAATAAGATAATTTTAAATTATGATAGAAATACGTTTTCTGTAGAAAATTAAAGATTCTTTATATCAGCAATATATTCTGAAATGTAGCTGTACCAGAAATAGTTTAAATTATTTTTATTAACTTAAACACAAACTATTCATACATGCAGATGAATAAATGCAAGTTTCATGCAGAGAAATAATTTTTAACTACTTTCCAATAACTAACAATAATAAAAATGAATGACGACCAATCTTAAAAGTTGCCTCAGCAGACAAAACCGGTTTAGTTATTCAAGCAAAGCTTCAGTTAAGACTAACCTGACCTGGGTCATTTTCCTGGTTGTACCACTGGAAATCACAAGCAAAGATGGAGTTGCTTCCAAAAGTTGATATGAGGTAACTGACCATTTCCCTACATTTAAGAAAATTCTAATATCCTGACTCATCACTCTGAAAAATTAACAGTTACTGCTTTCTCACAATATAAAGTGCTTCATAGCAATATATTTTATATCCTGATTCCAAGTTTTAGTCTGCGTACTCACAGTTTGCAAACTCTCTTTTGGTCTTATTTCAGTTATTTCTGAACATTTGACAGCATATTTAACATGTCATACACATTCAAATTAGTAGCTCTGTGTTGTACATACAAAGTTATGGCCCTATGAGCATTCAATAATAATGTTTATTTTGTTTACTAAAATGAAAATTTGGCAGTTTTTATACATAGAAAGTGTGTTTTTAATATATTATCATTCGCTTTATTTCAGCTGTATCAACTCTAACTTTTGATGTAATTATTTTGTTCCTTATTAGCGACAAATATTTCTAAGTTTTTTTCCAGCTTATCTTGGTACATAAATTATAAATTTATTAGTCTGGTGATATCTTAGTTTGCAAATAATTCAATGTCAGGGTGATTTTGTAAAATATTATATAAACTTTGTATTCATAATTTGTCCTTTTTTCTTCACAAAGTAAAATCTTATATTTCATTATACTTGATATACAGCATAAATCCAACAAACAAAATTACTCACTGATCATTAATCATGTGTACCCAAAAGATTAGTAAGCAATAAGTAAAATATCCTTGCTCAGTGATGATTACCAGAATAAACAAAAATATATTATATTAATATGTTTTATAGTTTATGGATATTCCATTTTTCTTTCATAATACCCAACAAGTCTTGAGAATAAACTAGAAGAAAATATAAAGAACTTTTATATATTATTATATACAGACTTATAGGACATTAAAACACTTACATACTTGAATATATAAAAGGATATTAATGAGGTTTCCAAGTAGAGATGGCTGAGTAGGTAAATACTGTGCTCGCCTCCTCCCAGGACCACATTAAATTATAACTAAAAAGTAAAACAACTATCATTAAGAACCACCAGAAGACTAGATAAACAGAAGTTCTACAACTAAGGATATGAAGCAGCAGCCAAAATGAGATTAGTAGGAGTGGAGATGCAGAACAGGCAGGTCCCACACTCATGGAGTGGTGTTTAAGAATTCAGAGGGGTATCTCAGCTGCAAAGTTCTCGCCTGAGAACTGAGGGGTCCTAGCCCCAGCCCAGTGCACCAGTGCCAGGAAGATGAGTACCCATAACACATGGCTGTGAAAATCAGCAGGGATTTCATTTGAATGAGATGAAGTTCTGCTGGAGTCCCAGGCATTCCTCTTGAGGAGCTCAGGCACAAAACTTGCTTACTCACAACTCACTTGTTCTGGGCACAAGGGCTGAAGCTCAAAAAGCACCAGAAACAAGTGGAGAGCTGAACTGACTAGCTTCAGGGTGAAGGCCAGAGGAATAAGGGTCAGGGTAGCTCTCTTCAGAAAGAAAGCATTGGCAGGCACCACTGTTCCCTGGTTGAGCACTCCTGCCATCCAGCCTATAGGTACAGGTAGGAGCCAAATCTGTGCTCTCCATTAACCTGGTTAATACTCTTCACACTGCCCTGTCAATAACCTGAGACCCTGCCGCACAGAATTCATACACCACTTTTAGTAGTTTTTCATACTAGTGGCCTGCCTTGACTCACACTGCAGACTTTCCTAAAAGCTCTCAAGTCTACAAACCCCAATCAGTGGCTGGCCACAGCATTTCCTGTACCTCTTGCTAATGGCCTCAAGCTTGGCACAATGGTGTCCAGTGTCGCCTTGCATTGTAACACCCATCAGGTAGCTGCAAGCCTGTCAAAAGCTGCAGTCAGTGCTGACTTGGAATATAGCCTCTATTAAGAGGTCACTAGCCTGCCACAAATAGTGGCTGGCCTCAGCTCACACTGTGGTGCCCAGAAAGGATCATAAGCCCAGTACTAGTGGCAGCCAGCCTCAATCTGCAATATAGCCTCTCCTGAGAGCCTCCAAGTACAGCACAAGCAGCAACCAACCACAGAGCACTTCATAGCTCCCAACATGTGGCCATAAGCAGGACACAAATGATACACCTGAAGGGTCACTAAGCTGGCATTAAAACCTGGATAAAGTGACTCCAATTCTTTGGGTCATGACCCACAAAGCAGCTCATGTGCTGCTGGCCTTCCTAGATCTCATAGCCAGTCAGCCTGAAGGTCATTACCTTCGGGTTGGCAAAATGGTCTTCTATAAGTGAAATAATTTCATGCCCACAGTAATGAAGTCTAAACTACAAGAAAAGGACACACATAACTCATACAAGAGACACCCCAAAGCACAAAAAAATTCAATTAAAATATTGGCAAAAGACCTGAATAGACATATCTCCAAAGAGGACATACAGATGACCAATAGACATGTGAAATGAAGCTCAACATCACTAATCACCAGAGAAACGCAGATTGAAACCATAATGAGATATTACCTCACATTTGTCAGAATGGCTATCATCAAGAAGCAAACAGCAAATGCTGGTGAAGATGTACAGAAAAGAGAACCATCATGCAGTACTGGTGGGATTGTAAATTGTTGCAGCTACTATGGAAAACAGTAGGAACACAAAACAAAAAATTTAAAAAAGAACTACCATATGACCCAGCAATTCCACTTCTGGGTATTTATTTGAAGAAATAAAAAACACTAATTTGAAAAGACATGTGCA